TGAATGTGTGGAAATGTGAAGTTTTATCCTGCATGTGTGCGCGTATGTTGATGCTGCGACGATAATGATTCTCAGTACAGAATGCTAGAGAGCCTCATTTCATTATATTTCAGTGCAGATATTTACATCTGTGAAATCAGTAATGCAGCAAACAGATCGGTAAACTGATTGTTTCTGACACACACAGTTTTTGTAGGAGGACCACAAGTCCCACCTAACATAAAACATGAAAACAGATCGAGCGGTAACCAAAATAAATTTTTAGTTCCACATTTTGTTCTTGAGCTTTTGTTTTGTTTCCTCTGAGCATTTTGGAAAGAGGATATAAGATTCCAGAGGCTGTTTTCAAACCTTATGGCCACAGAATAAACTAATAAAGTAAAAGGGCAGAACTGTGAAAATGTTTTTATGACACTGGGTAGGCTGATGTTATCTGCACGTTATCTAAAGACTCTTTATGTTGTATATATATTTTCTTTCATTTCATTCAGAAATGTAAGAAATAATATCTCTTCCTCAGCATCTGTGCAGACGGTTGTCACATCAGCTCAGCCTGTTATCTTAGGCAGTTTTGCAACAGTAACGAAGCTTTTTGGTACAATGACAGCCTTTTCTTGCTCTCTGGACATTTTAACTACACCTTTGTTCGAAAGTGTCTAACAGTGCATTGGTTCACCTGCCTCTGGTAAGGTCTTATTTAAAAGCCAGATAAAAACATCTTTAAAATCAGCTTTTTATTAATTTCTCTTATTTTGTTTTTTATGCATTGTTGGCTCCTACGACGCACTTATTAAGCACTCTGTAATTTTATATCTTGAAAGGTGCTTTATAAATAAAGTTTTACTTATTTACTTACTTGGAAAATAAATAACATGGCTATGTTAGAAAGAGAAATCCAACAGTGAGACAGGTCGGCTGAGGTTAGGCTGGAACACAAGACAGTTAGTGGCTAAGTTTATGAATAAGATAAGATAAACCTTTATTAGTCCCACAAGTGGGAAATTTACTTAAAATAAGCACTTTTTAGTAATACATAATAGTACCTACAAATAATTAAAGCTAGGCACACTAGAAATAGTTATACTGTAAGCAAATTATGTACTGCACAAGTACTTAACTTAGTATGCACTCAAGTATGTAATGTGTAAGTCATTTTCGGTAGTAAATAAGTAATTTTAGTAAGTACATGACTTCAGATGTTTTACAGGAAAGGAGAGACTATTCTGGAAATCATGTGAAGTACTGTGTAAGTGATTTTAAGTTATGCATAAATTCATGTTTTCTATGTGAATGAAGAAATTATTACATTGTAAGTAAATTTAGGTATTTCTTGGTAATTTTGGGGGAAAAAAACAATATTTCACCATCTTACATAAACTGTGTATAGTAGGAGTTTAACCTTGCCTAAATTCCAGATATTTGACTGCTTTCCTGTACACTCATATTTGTACAGTGATTGTGAAATTTTAAAATACATAAACAATTAAGTTGGACTTGGCTCTATCATTATAAGGCGACATAAGCCTGCAAACGTTGATTGTATTGATTTTTTCTTGTAAGTTGGTAAGGGACAACAGTGCTAATCACATTTACATCAGCAATATAAAAGCACAGTTGAATAACAGAATATCCAACATGCACATCAACATACTGAATATTAAATACAGATGTAAAAGACAGGATTAATCCACTTCATATTTTCCACAATTTACAATATCATTTTCATTTTCTTACACAGTAAAAATGGTATTTTGTTGTACTGAAAATTTCTGTTTATTTAAGTCATAAAGTAAATTATTTCTTCATTTCCTCTACAGGGTAAGAACAGTGAGTCTTGCTGACAGGTTTCTATGACTACAGCAGAATTCCTTTATAAATTTGAGATGTAATGTTGTTTTTTCTTAAGACGTTTCATAGTTTAAAAGTAAAACTTCCAAGTAAAATATGAGATTATATGCTTACAGAGTCAGTGCTTTTGCAAGTGCATTAAAACTGCATTTTTCATATTGGCCACCAGATGGCAACTCCTGTAGCTTCAAAAAGACTGTCCTTTAGAAGTCAATGGGAAAATTAACCTCAGCCCTGACCTGTGTAAAAACTTCCACTGACATTTGGCGACTTCAAGTGATTATGATCGAAAAACAACAAAAAAGGCTGGTGAAACAAAGATAATATTATTATTACATCTACACAGGTTTTAACATGCTGATTCTAACTTTGTCAACATTCTCACCTGATAAGGCATCACCTTCCTGGGGCTCATATACCCGCCACTGAACATCTGGACTACACTCTTACTGGTGTCCACAGTGAGGCAGACACTGGTCCAGATGTCCTGCTTAATGTCTGGCCATAAGTGCACAACGGGCTGCAGGTCCACACTGAAGGAATCATAATAGGACAGCATGTCAAAGCTACCCTGCAGACTCAGAGAGGATGTGCCTGGACTGAGAGTGAAGAGTGGGAAGTTTGGCTGCACAACGTCAGTCATGTAACGCAGACACACTGACACACCTGCAAGAGATGTGATTGATTACAGAGCAGTGGAGAGTAGACTTTATCACAGTAGATGTTGTTCTGAAAGCGCCGTAACTAAGTTTAAGAATATAATCCACCCACTGTTATCTTCTTCAATGCCCTATACCAACACAGAGCAGCTACCTGAACGCTACTCCAACAGAGGTCGATTATCTTGTCAATAATTCTACCTCCTCACTACGTATGACTCTGGATACTCCGATGAAAAATAAGGCCTCAAACCAGAAGTACTTGACTCCGTGGTATAATGGTCAGACACGTAGCCTAAAGCCGATAACTCGTAAGCTGGAGAGGAAATGACGTGTCACAAATTTACAAGATCGTCATTTAGCCTGGAGAAATAGTTTGTGGCTTTAAGAGAAAGCCACGAACTATTCTCCTTCACAAAGCCAGAACATCTTACTACTCATCACTGATTGAAGAAAATAAGAACAACCCGAGGTTTCTCTTCAGCACTGTAGCCAGGCTGACAAAAAGTCTTGAGCCAACCATCCCTTTGCTAGTAATGACTTCATGAACTTCTTCACAAATAAAATTTTAACCATTAAAGAAAAAATTACCCATAATCAGCAATTAGAGCACGCTATAGGTATTACAGGTACTGTGCTGCAGTGTTTTGTATAATATCTATCTAAAAGACTCCAATTTGTTCTTGGAGAGTCCTCTTCACACCCTGAGGTTAATTATAGAGTTCCACAGGGTTCAGTGCTAGGAACAATTCTGTTTACATTATACAGTACATCCTTCTCTTAGTGGAAGTTCTCCAGAGGCCTGGTAACGAACTAATCATGTGATTCAGGTGTGTTGACCCAAGGTGAGATCTAAAACCTGCAGGACACCAGCCCTCGAGGCCTGGAATTGCCCACCCCTGCCTTAGGCAGTATCATCAGAAGACATAGCATACATTTTCACTGCTATGCTGACACCCAACTCTATCTATCCATAAAGCCAGATAACACACACACCAATTAGTTAAACTGCAGGAATGTCATGGTTCTCAAGATCTGGAGAGGTCGTGGTGTGTGTTTTCTGTCTTCGCCTCTCCCACCAGGGCGAAACTGGACCTTGATTCCCCGTCTCTGAACCCGCCCTCAACACACACCAGCAGGAGGAGGCGTGGTCGCTGCAGGGGAGGCGGACGCACCTGAGCGACACCCGCAATCACGCCTCGCCGCCTTAACGTCAGTGCTATCTGTGCTGTTGTGTTGGTATATGTCGGGCTGTGAGCTGAAAAGCTACAGCCGGCTGTGTGGGTACAGCTATCGTGTGTGAAAAGTGGTCAATAAAGAGATGCTGAAAAGCATGTTGATGGAAACATTGTCGGGTCTGCCGTGGTATGTTTACGGGTATACCGGCTTCCACAAATGTGACGCTTATTTTGAACGATGAAAAAAATAATAGAATATAATTTTATTTTTATATTTATTTAGGCCCTATCACAATAACCTTCCCATTTAGAAGTACAAGTTAAAAAAAAAAGAACTAAGATAATCAAAATACACTTCAGCTAAATACTTCTAATTTATTTTCCCAAACCACACGGAGCCGCACTGTAAGGACTAAAGAGCCGTAGGTTGCCGACCCCTGTGCTAAGCAAAAACCTAAGAAAAAGTGGTAGCCGACGCTGATCATTATATCTATGCCACAGTGTGTGTCTACCTGACTTCGCACTGAAAATATTGAAACAATTACTTGATTGGTGCATGCAGTTTAATAAAAAACGCATGCAAGTCCATTGCAAATTAATATTACACATAATTAAAAAGTTGATGTAACTGAAAAGAAAACTAAAATCAGATCTGAAATCAGAATGAAAACTAGTTTAGAAAAGTGTGTTGGGATTTCTGATGATTACCAAAAACTTTGCTGCATAATCAGACTTTATCAGATGTCAGACTAGACTCTTGTTTGGCTGAGACTGAAAAAGTATATAAAGTGTGAGAAGTATAAATATGTGATGGGGTTAAAGAGAGGACTCTTTCTTATTGATGGGAGGTGCCAAGAACTTTTTCCTGAATGTTTAATAGCAAGGGCAAAGTCCCACTCACATTGACCCATGTGTCAACCACAAAAATAATAATAGTAATTGCTTTTTTAACTGATAGGC